CCCCCCGCCCGCCCGGCCTGCCGCCGCGCTCGCCCGCGCCGCGCTCGCCGATACTGCGCGCGCGCCGCGCGGCGCCGCGGGCGGCGCTGAACGCCTGCGTGAGCAGCACCGACCTCGCCGCCCCGAGGCGCGGCGCGGCTGCGGAGGACGACGACGGTGACTTTGATTTCGACGCCGCTGAGGCTGCCTTCGCCCCGCCCGCCGCGCCCCGCGCGCCCAGGACGCTCGACGCGCCCGCCGCCTCCCCGGAGCCCAGCTGCGGCGCGCCCGCCGCGACGGCGGCCACCACGACCGCCACCGCGACGCACGCGACGCCGCCTGCAACGGCGCCGGCGCCGGCGCCCACCTGCGGCATGCCGGTGCCCGGCGCGCTCGCGCCGCTGGCGGCCGGCATGGTCTGGGGCATGCCCATGCCCGTCGTGCGCGCGCCCGGCATCGTGCCGCCGCAGGCGCCCGCCGCGGCGGCGCCGCCGCCGCCGCAGCAGCAGGCGCCGTGGGGCGGCTTCATGGGCTGCCCAATGCCGCCGGCGGGCTTCATGGCGCCGCCGCACCCCTTCATGATGATGCCGGCCCCCGGCATGTGCGGCCCCATGCCCGCCTTTCCCGGCGCGTGCTTCGCCCCGCCGATGCCCTACCCCGGCGCCTGCTACCCGCCGCCGCAGCAGCAGCAGCACTACCCGCACCAGCAGCAGCAGCAGCAGCCCGCCGCCCCCGCCGCCCCGACAGGCGCCGCGGCCGCGCAGGCGCTGGACGCGAGCCTCATGTCATTGCTGGGCAGCGCTGAGGACGATGATCTAGAAATGGATCTGGACGACGTGCTGCAGGACCTGGGGGACCCAGATCACGCGGCAACGGCAGCCGCCGAGAAGCTGCCGCGCCCCTGCCCGAGCGCCGGCGAGGGCGCGTGCGCGAGCGGCAGCTCTGGCTTCGAGGAGAGCGGCGCGGAGGACGACCTGCTCGGGCGGCGCGGCGCGTCGTCGCCGGGGTCGATGGCGTCGAGCCAGGGCGCGCCGCCGCGCGGCGGCGGCCGCGGGGGCGAGCACGGTGGCGAGGGCGAGGGCGGCGGCGATGACGACTTTGAGGGGCTCCTGGGGTCGTGCGGCGGCGGCAAGGGCCTGCACGGGGCCGGCAAGGGCCTGTGCGGCGGGCTGGTCGGCTTCGAGGACGACGAGTGGGGGGACGGCTGCGCGGCGCTCGGGAAGAGCAGCTCCCTGGCTGACCTGCTGGCCGTGGCTTGACCTGATCTGGTCTGATCTGATCTGACGGTTCCCTGTTTGCGAGAAGAAGATTGACAACCAGGGCGAGCGGGGCCCGCTCGCCCACGCGGCGCGGCCCCGAGCGTTTTTCTGAGCACCTGGGCCCTGCACGCACGCACATGCAAATGCTGGCACCGCGTCTTCCTCCCCCACCCCTTCCCCTGCCCGCTCCCACCTCGCGGCGCCCGCTGGGCCGGCGCGCGCGCGCGACCCTGCAAACGCCCTTGGGGGCCGGCGGCGGGGGGCGCGCGCGCGCTTGCGGGCGCCACAAATTAGCGAGAGCCATTCTTTTTGAGAACCCCCAGCCCGGCACGGCGCGGCGCGCTGGGGGCGCAGCGGGCGCGCAGGCGGCGCCGCGCCGTGAATGGCGCGCCCCTCCCTGCACTGCGCCCGTCTGGCGCCGTCCCGGCCGCCGGCGCTGTGTCGCCCAGGCACGGCCCTGCAGCCCCCACGGGCGGCGCGCCCGCGCTCACGCCGCCGTGCTGTCCTCGAGGGCCGCACGCGCGGCCCCCCTTTTTCCCCGCATCAGCAAGTGAACACGGACTGAAACTAACACAGCGGTGGCGGGCCGCGGCCCTGCCTCCGCACGCGCACGCACGGCTGCGGGCGCCTGCGCGCCGCGCGCGGGCGGCCGGCGCGCGCTTTTCGGGGCTGGGCGCGCCCCTTTCGAGTTTGACCTGGCAACACACCGCCACGCGTCGCCGCACAGAGCACCGAGCGTCTTGAGGCACCGCCTCCCCAAAAGAAGAATCGGATCAGGCCCCGCATCACGCCATGAGATGCCCCGCAGCGCCGCCGACCATCAGGCGCAGCAGGGCGGGCTTCCGGTCGGCCCGCCGGCCCGGCGCGGCTCCCCCTGCCCGCGCGCCGCCCGGCGCCGACGATCCGATGCGGTCGCCACCGTTTGTGTGTTGCTCGGCTCAGTATCACCCTCTCAAGGCCCCGCCCCCGCTCGCCGCGATTTTCGGGGTGGGGGATGCGGTGGGAAGCACCGACGCGGCGAGCCGGCTCGCCGGCGTGGTCGTCCGGGCCTGGCACGCCGTCAGCGCCTTGACGTTCCGCGCCCAGGGGCGGGGCGCCTGCCTCGGCTGCCAGGGCCCTGCCGGGCTGCGACCTTCACTGGTATGCAAGGGCGGGGAATGGTGCGGGCGGCCGGCGGTCTGGTGGGTTGCACGAGGCCGCTCCCAGCGCCCCTCGGTTTCGCCGGGCGCTTTCTGGGAACTCCGGCGCCCGCTCTGCGCCGCCGCCTAGCATGCGCCCACGCGGGCGCCCCCGCCGCCTTCCGTTTCATTGATCAGGGTCGGCGGCCGCGGGGCGCGCGGCGCGCGCCCCTGCGCCCGCGCCCGCGCCGCCCCACCGCCTGATCTGCCGGGCGGCCCAGCCCCTCACCCCTCCGGCCATGCGCGCGCCACCGGCGCCCCCCTCCTGCACACACCTCCCCCCTCCCCCTCTTGTCTTGCGGTGCCGGGCCACCCCTCAGCCGCCGCCTGGCCCCCAGGTCCTGACCCAGTGTGTTTGTGTTGCCATCTCGCGTGGGACGACAGTGGGACAATGCAAAGCGAACAACGATCAAAGGAGGCCAGGGACCCACGAACTCCCCTGGCCACCCCGCAGCCGCGGCCGCCGGGCGCGACGTGGCTCGCCGCTGGCGCGCACGCCCGGGCCCGGCGGCCCGGCTGCCTCCCGCTGCGCGCGGGCAGTTTTGTGCCCCGCGCGGAGCCCTTGAGCCGAAACACATCGCACTGCTGACTGCCCCTGCAAATCACCGCGCGCGGCGCGCGCGCGCGCGCGCACGCGCGCCCGCAGTTTGCCCCGCTATTGCCTGCACTGTTGCACAGCCGCTCGTGTCGTATGCAGCCAACAACGAGAAGCCACCCTGCCCTGGGTGTGTGTTTGACCGCCACGGATTATGCTTGGAGCCGAGGCGGCCCAGGCCTCCGCCGGCGCCGCCTGTCTTGTGGCATCCTTTCTACCAGAGAACTGCCAGCCCTGATCATCCCGTCTGCATTGCGCCGCCAGCGGCGCAGATATCCGATAGGGATTCGCGGCGACCCCCGCGCGTGCGCAGCCCCGCCCCGGCACGGCCGCCTCACGGCCTCGTCGCGCAAGGGCCCGTCCGCCGCGCCCATTTTGGCGCGTATCCGCGCACCGTCCCCCATTGAGCGCAAGCTCGCGTTTACGAGGCCAGTGCACACGCAGAGACAACCAAGTACAAGCAAGCAAGGAAAAGAACAAGTTGTCGAGGCGAGGTTGGGGCGAAAGAAAGTGTTGCTGTTTGAGACAATCCTGGTTTTTGGAAACGCGCGAGCCTTTTTTGCGCGGGAGTGTGCACTGCTTTGACTAGTCCTCGATACATTTTGTGACGCCGCTGGCCGCACTCCAGCACCACGCCGGTGCCGGCGAGAGAAGGCGATGTGAGCCCCTGAGACCGTACAAGCCCATCTGTGTAAACCACCACGAGCCACTCCTGGATGTGCTGGGTGTCAAACCCTTTGTGCTGGGCAGATGAGACAGGCAAACTCTGTTCAAAACAGCGGCGG